AGTGCGAATCCATCGACCCAATTAGGACTGGAACCCGGGACCTCAGAGGCAGAACGCAAGCGTTGTACCCAGTCGGCCACCGGGCAGCTGATCAGGTCGTATTTTTCTTCATTTTCCATTTACACGATGTAGCACAACCCATCTTTGAGAGCTTATTACGGGCAACAGACCCTGCTCATCTCAGCACTAGCCTCCGGGTTATGACTCGGTTGGAAACATTCACAACCTGACTACTTTCAAGTGAGCAGTGGAGGATTTGGTTCAATTTCAAAGCTGAATTCGTCATGTATATAGCAAATGACCCAGCAGGTCCCGATCAGGTCGAAACAACCGTCCAGTGCTTCCTAGCTTTTCAGTTTACGCTTCGTTTGCTATATACACGACGAATTTAGCCTTTGGAGATGAACTAAATCCTCCATTACTCACTTGAAACATCATTTTATCGGTGCATCCGAAACTCTGAATCGACGGGCTAGTAGTTAGTTCACCTGGCGTTAAAGAAAGAGTACAAAGTTAGTTTGGAATTTTGGTAAATTATCCCTATTGGCAATTAACTACACAGTTTGGATGGGGTTTACGGACATTTGGTATCTGTCAGAAACGATCCAATTTCCGTGAATAGCCAAACTTCATACATGAGTTGGATAAGACTGCCGATGTAAAGTATCTTGTTCATATAAAGCTTTATCTTCTTGGAATTGTCACACGCTTTGCCTTTGGGAATTCGTGGTGCATCCGTTTTCCCCCGCAAACTGCCCCCAACCCGAGCACGATTTCTTTAATCCACTGGCGGAGTTTGCAGTTCGCACTTCGTATATAACCATTGAGCTTTGTGTTCACACTGAGCTGTGCACTGGTTATCATCTATCGACTGCACTCATTTGATAGAGCCTCCGTGAAGCATTATTTAAAACGGAGAGTAGTGCCAAGACAGAAGTAGTTCATTGCACAGAAAGTTGAGCGACTGGCACTGTTTACGACATTCCGCGTTTTCACCCACACTGTCTTGGTGACGATCGATTCACCTGACTGATCACGAGGTACACAAACGGAAAGCATCACGTGACCTGCATGACCGAGTTCTCGGAGTTCTCATGCTCCTCCTTCTCCCGTCATGCCCGGTTTGATTGGGATCACCAGTTGGTGGGTTAGGCGCCACGACTATTTCACAAACTCGTGAAATGTATCATTCCATATGTTTGTTGATGATGCTCACTTGCTTTACAGCAAAAATTGAGAATGAATTTAGGCGCGACCGTTGGATTGGAAAGATCATCCAAGTTTACGAGGAGTTTGAATCCCACATTATGTGGTTTGTTAATACTGGACTCAGGTCACGGTGACAAGGGAGCGGACTGAAACTACGACTCACACGTTCTTTCACCAGGGGTTGTCACACAGAGAGGACGTCTAAATGCACTTTTCCAGTCTGTGGCCAAAATCCGTACGAAATTGGACGACTATGATATTTTTACTGGCCAAACGAACAAATTTCTATTCGGTCCTCATGACCGTCACTATGTAGAGCAATTGACCGCATCGAGGTTATCCGAAAACTGTGATTTTGGCATTGTCTAAAATACTTTCTGATGCCTAGTCAATCCCAGAAACGGTCATGTTTCCGTGTCTGTCCAATTCCGCCTGCGAGTGCATCGTTCTATCACTCGTTCTCTCTCTTTCTCTCTGTGTTCCACCACTCTGTAATCAATGGGAACAATTTGTGCTACACTACGAAAGTTTGAGCACATGTGGTCACAGATGTGACTGTGCTCAAATGAATTCGCATAACAACTATAGCGATCTAGACCTGAACAGTTGCTCTTCCATACGAACCAGATCGAACTGTTTTTAATCCAAAACAAAGTGGAAAGATGGAGAAACAATTAAACATTGGAAAATGTTCAGATCACTCAGTCTAATTGATCATCGGAGCTCACCCACTCCCAATTACTGTGTTCCACGTTTTTCCTAAGTTGGACGCAAATTATTACGGGGTGAGGTGAGGTTAAGCAGTATTATCAGGTGCTCTCACTAAATATTGCTTGTTTCATTACTACACTGATAGAGATCATGCCACCAAACATTATGGTGTGGTGGTGATGGGTGGGTGGGGGTGATAGATGAACATTTATGCACAATTTTTTCACATAGTGCTATTGACAATTGATTTGTAGCCTGTTATTTTTCGTTATATATTTTTCTCCTCTACCTCACTGCCTACCAGGGCTCAATGATGCCCATTGCCGGGTGCCTGATTGGTCGATGGGTGCCTCCGAATGGGCGCAGTCGATTTACTGCTTTCATTTTCGCCGGTAAGACTGGTTTTCATGAACCCCAGCATGATCACCCCTCCCCGCCGTTTCTGCTTCATTTGGTTTCATTTCACCCAGATTGATGGGATTATCAGTGTGGTTTTAATTTAGGGATCAAACTGAACTGGTGCTTATGGAATGCAAAAAATGAAGAAGACGAGGAGGGGGATTTGACCCTAAAAGTTGTCCTAATTAGGGGGGGGGGTAGCGAAGATTGTTTTCCGACTTTCATCATCATCACATTCTTATTTCCTAACTAATAAATTTGACGGGGTTCGCCAGGAGATAACGTATTAATAGACACGTGTACAATGTAACCATTTATTTCGGAACACATCAAAACATGGTTTTTTGACCCTTGTACTCCTTTTTAAGCTGTTTCTCATCAGCTCACCCAGTAGCCCTCTTTTCCTAGAACCACCAATCATTCCGATCACAAACAATCTTCACAAGTGCTCAACTATCTACACTAACGATCTGATTCGGTTCGCTTGCTATTTACGTGACCTAGTCTCTTTCAGCGTTTCTTTCTTTTGTGTGTCACTTGGTCAATGCAACCCGGCCCAACACCAGAATTACGGAAAAGCGGTTTGCCTCATGCGAACCACAGGAGCACGATCAAAGGGAACTACGTCTGTGTGTCGCTGCGACCAATGCAATACACCATGAGTCTCTCAGGTCGAAAAACGATCCGGACTGTATGTGGTGTCACGCGTGCTATGACACCTCGAACACCGTGGTTGACCGAACTACGTTTCATAGATTTCCACAGTTTCTCGTCCGGTGGCACAATGTGTTTACACATTCCTCAGCAAGTTTTTGCATGGACCAGACCGGTCTCATTCGATATCTGATAGCTCAAGTTGTCAAACCACAGTGCACGACAGACAATCATTCAACCGAATGCTATCAAGCGGTGTGTTTGACCTCGGACAAGGCTTACGGAACCATTTTTATTGTTCGATCAGCTCTCCATTCCTCAAACAGTTGGCCTCAACACAGCGGTCTAGTCAGTGTGTTAGATGGTTCTGTCGATGTCCGGGACAGTACCAAGGCACAATCATCGGGACCTTATGTGGTTCGCCACTCCAAATTCTAGTGCTGTAGGCTGCCGGTTATCACTCATTTCACCAGGAATACTACAACCAACAAGACCAGTTCTCAGGCGCATTCTCATTCGACAATCGCATTCAATAATATTCAAGGTTTAAACCACAATATTGATTGTGTACATCATTCTCTTCAGTTCACTTACCCTCTATTTTTATCTTAAACACAACTTTCTGCTTCCACAGACATCACCCATGTTCAGTTATCCAACTATTCTCTTCATACTTCGCTCATCCCCAAAGTTGGTGTTTGTGCGTTCATCCATCATTCAATAGCTTCTACCCTGTTCTCCCACTTATATCTCACCAACCGCGAGTTCCAGACCATTTGACTGAAATTTCGGTTCCCTACTTTTTATCACAACTTCTGTACCATTCTCTAAATAGTAGTGGCTCTTCACTCTCTGTTGTTTTATCGGCAAACATGGCGTTTTTGAAGCAGACCCCAACGCTTAACCACTCCTGTTGGTAAAAATATCAGTGCTCCGCAGCTGGCATCGTTCATCGTTCCCAGCTCCCGCCTATGGTCCCTGCAAGCACGTTGTTGGGTGCCAAGCCGCACAGTTAGCAACCGCAATTTCCGGAAGCCGGACATTCTGGTCATTCGCTGAGGCGATCTTCCGTAACTTCTGTTCCCCTAACATTCCACCAACTTAGTGTCCGTCCCGCTTTAAAAAGTCGATGTGTTTACCTCCCATTTTGATTCAAGTTCCACCCAACTCAAACTACCGATTTAACTCTCCATATACTCTAACGCAAACCATCTTTTCACACCACCACCAGAAAGATATGTCAGATCCTTTGGCCCCCTATAAACCACCTGGACCCGACCAGATTCCTTTCGTTGTCCTTAGGATGCGCAACCCGGAATTTCCCCCTCTTCTGAGCCATCTATTCTCTTTATCCATGGATTCTGAGTTATTCCCAACCTTATGGAAAATATCAGAAGTATTTCCCGTCCCCCAAAGCGGCGATCACTCAGACGCAAACAACTGCGGTTCCATCTCTCATGTCAATTATTGCTGATCAACTCTGTCACCATCTGGAACACAAAAAGATGCCTGGCGACCGTCAATACGGTTTCCGAACCTCATCGATGTACCGGTACTCTTCTGGCGCTCATTTCGCATACTTGGTCAGCGGTACTTGACAACCACGGAGAAACCCATATGATGTCATTGGATATTTCAAAAGATTTCGATCTTGTCTGGCATGCGGGTTTGCTGGCTAAACTTCCCAAGTTTGATTTTACTGTGGAACTTGTGTCCTGGACAGCAAGCTATCTCAAGGACCATAGCATCTCTCTTCAGAGCAGATGGGACCATGTCTCGTTCCGTGTCTGTGAATATTTCGTATCCCCAAGGTTCTTTACTGTCCCCTTCCTTTTTTCTGATGTTTGTTGATCACGTTCCTTCTTCAACTTCGAATTCTAGTCACACCTTTGCCGATGACGCTACCCTACACTCCTCTTTGTCCAATTCCTCTTCGCGCATTGCTAACTCCATCATTAATTACGACCGCTTCTCCCATAGTTTCTCCCTAAGTTCTGATCTAGGCCTTATTTGCGCTTGGGGCTGTCGAATCCGTATTCTCTTCAAAGCCAGTAAAATTTCCCTTGTGTCAGTTTCTCTTAAACACGCATCCTTCTCCCTTTCAGAAAATTTTAACTTGAAAATTTTTCGTTCCACAGATTCATGCAACCTCTTGGGATTTTTCTTATATTTTTCTCCTTTACGGTAACCTTATATTCATCAACTCGTCTCCCACACGGTGCGCAAAATCTGCTTCCTCTTCAACGCCAAAAACGTTTATTCACCCCTGACCAACTCTCCTTTTACAAATTTTAAATCCGACCTACAAATGAATTCTGCCGTCATGTGTGGGATGGGGTTTTGTCCAACTTTGTTACTCTTCTAAATCCGGTTCAGCTTGAGGCCATCCGTCTCACCAACGACTCATCCCTCACATATAACTAGAAGTCACTAGCTCACTGTCGGGCAGTCGCTTCCTAATCTTTATTCTTTCGATACTACTTTGGATTTTGCTCTAACAAACTTTCCGCTTCTGTCCCTCTCCCGCTTGTTATTCCTCGTATATCCCGCGCACAAGCGGTTAGTCACCCATTTCAAGTGATCATCCTCAAGTGTCGCATTTCTAACTTTCAACTATCTTTTTTCCCCAAGAACAGCACAACTGTGTAACACTCCCTCTTTCGGTTTTACCTCCAATGTCTTGTCTTTAAACGGAGAATCAATATACTGGTTTTAGCTTGAATGTTTCCCTCATCTTCCCACGTACAGTATATCCTTGGATTATGGGGGTTTTATCCCTGCATGAGATCGGCCACGTGTTTTTCTTTTCATTCAAATTGTATAATGTTTCCACCTTATCGATTTCTTCTTTCGGATATGGACGTTGAGATCTCAGATCACTTAGGCTGGGCTTCTACAGTCAGACTGCCTAATACACTCTATCACCTAATAAAGTCGATGGTGGTCTAGTCAGTGGTCCAATGTGATTGATTTTTTTAATATCCAAAGTCCACGATTTTGACAGCATTTCATTAGTTCAAGCGATGAAAAATAGCATTAGCGATTATCATGTGCTAAAGTGATTTCACTTCCATTTGATATGCCCCCGGGAAAGCTTTGCTCACCCACAGATGCTTCCTTCAAACTGATTATAAATTTTGAAATTCAATAAATAAAAAACGGCTTTAAAATACCATGAATAATATTCTCCACCCCCTGTTTTCGCGCAGGAGTCCAAGTTGGTACTGTACTCGGTCAGTTTGTGGCAGGCACGTTGTCTCAAGTACGTGAAATACCAGACAAAGAGACGGGCTTGATTCACTACGTATCCTATTGGCCGTATGTTCACTATCTGTTCGGCGGATTGGGCATGCTATTCGCCCTTGTCTGGTTGTGCACCGTCTACGACGAGCCGGATGTGCATCCGCGTATCAGTTCCACCGAACGGGACTATTTGCACGCATGCCTGACGACTGAAACGGACACATCAAGTGCTACCAAATCGATACTTGTGAGTAGCATGCGTTTTATCGTTTTCTTCCGCTTCTCATGTTATATACTTCACAAGCGTTTGAGTTCAGACTGTGTTTGGACAAAAGCACGGTATAACATATAGGTCCATGATTTGTGAGTGGACAGGATGACGTCATTTTGGTCAAGCCAAGGCAGATGGACTTGACCGAGGGATTCACAACCGAAGCCTTCGGCCAGTCAACTTCTGACCCACAATACGTTAGGGTTTTGTGTGGATCCTTTATTATGTTATAGGTTGGTATCCGAGATGATGTGAGTGTTGTTCGTAAACCCGTTGTTGGTCCATTTGTGATCGGGTTTTTGAAACAATTCCTTTCGGGTGAAATTCCAGTTGTCCCATATCCCGGTTCTGGCCTCAGATGTTGTCCTTTTGTACTCCCTTTTTCGGTGGGGGATACATCTCCGTCAAGTGAAACGAATGTGATCCTGAGGAGGCGTTTTTTTGTCGCACTGTGCACAGACATTACCAGAATTGACAACCGAACGCGTTAGGCTTTGGTCACGTGTTTTCCCTGGTTGATTATAATATATGGAAACAACGGTTTAGAGAACCAAACAAAGCAAAATGGAATCTCATTTTAGGCAGTGACCTGGTCTGCGTAATACGAGGTTCAAATTGTTCATTGACAGTGTCACTATTGTGGGCATTTAATGATTTTTTCCACAGTTGCTACGGTTGAAAACCGAATGAGTGAAATCTCCGTCATGTTTTAAACAGCATCTTTTTAATATGCATTATGTTCTATTGATTTATTCTTAATCCCGATAAACGTGGTTTCATCCAGTCACTGGTAATCAATTCATTACATTCACGTTTGCTTTCGATTTAGTCCGACAACAGTAAGAACGCGTTTGTTATTTCGGTTTCAAGGTGACGCACCGGAAAAGCGTTTCTATAGTTGGACCGCACTTTTCCACAGCATTTTATTATCGGACACGCCACTGTGAAATCCCTTATGGCGTTCATTCGCCTAGAGAATTGAGGTCTATACCTTTTCAACTTCAAGTGAATCCAATCAATCACATTCCACTGGGAACCCCAGAAGATTATTGATATTTCGGCCGCAAACGTCAGCGATTGGACCGGGTGTGTCTAAACCCTGTCCAGTCCGAATGAACTAACTTCTCCCGTAAACAAACAAAAGTACTGTTTTTAGGTGAGTTACCGAGCGAGGATGAAATTTTCGGTAGGGTAAGATAGGCCGCTCCCCCCCCCCCTCCGCACACACACACCCGTTCCACCCGGGAACCTTATGTTCCTGATCGTTGATCGAGTGTCCGTCATAGATACGAATGAACGAACCCGGAGGTAATTGACCTCTGTCGGTCGAGTAAGGAAGCGAAACACATCAAGATGGATCGATAAGTCGGTCACGATGCCCAGACGGGAATGTGAGCGTGATTCATTGCATGAGTGGAGTCCGTCTAAGCCCTCAATTACCCAATGAGTAAATTCTATTGAGGCCGAGTTTCTCTCGAATAAAACCGATTGCTTTGATACAAATGCGATTGCTTACGCATTTCTGATATTGAACGGCACACTTGACAAGATACTTAACAATGGTAACAGTGGTGAAAAAAGTAACAGTATTTCACTTGAATACTGGGAACCTATTCACTAGCTAACAGAAATCAGATTTCTCTGTCATTCTCTGGTTGATTATTACACTGAATCCCCAATACCACAGTGCCGCTTTTCCCTTAGCTACTCAGCTTCATCGCGTAGGTTCTTATCTTTATTGTATCATTGCTCAACCCTTCGCATCTTTTCACATACTGTTTACATCTGTGCGATCATTTATAGTCAAGTGAATGTGACAGGTGGCGATAAGAATGAGTAACAGTTATTCATGATCCCACAAGCGATGATAACTCTGTTTCGGGTTCTCCATGGGGTATTAATTTTTTCTCTTCTTCATTTTTACTTCCTTTTATTGAATACACTATGATACAATTTTCCGGAAGGGGGAAGCGGCCAATCAAAGGGCTGCCATACAATACACAAATGGGGAAAGTCAGGCGGTGGTGGTGGGATTCGAACACACATCTCCGAGGTGATAATTTGGCGACGTTACGACCGGGTGGGTAAAATATTCTACCCACGATTGTCTTAATACTGAATGTCGAACAAGAGAAAACGTTCATTGTCACTGTGGGTGCCACTTTGCAGTATATTTCCCGGAAGGGTGGTACCACGAAAGATTGTGTAAACGAGCTACCTATCATCAAGGGGGAAAGCGGTGACATTTTTTCTGCTCTGAACTGAATTGGGCGGTTGTGTAGACACAACCCTTTTCACATTATCACTCAAATTCTCTGTAGTCACTGTCCCCTTCAGAATTATATTTATTCCGCTCTGAACCCCTCAGATTTGTAGAAAGTAGTGCATTTTTCTCAGATAAACTTGCCGGGATTTTATTTTACCGGATTGAGATGGTTGATTTGTTCACACGATTTTCGAAAACTCAAACTTGATGCGGTCAATCAGACCAAATCTGTTTTTTTCATCTATCGTTTTGTCCATCTGGCAATGATTGACAACTAAGAGTTGGTTTTAACAAACAGGTTGTTGATCCAGGATAAACGACTCTGGACCACACAATGCTGGTGTTTCTCAAGTTCGGACTAGCCAATCAGTGTACCTCTGAATGTAGGACGGCCAAATTTGGTCAATGTGGGTTTTCTGCACCTTTTTCGTGTATATGGTCAACGGGGGCTGAAACCAGGCTCCAGTAAAATCTTACGAATGGTAAATGTACTGAAAGATCACGAAACAGTTAATGCCCTAATTTGAGTCAAAGGACATGATTTGCAGACGACTTTATGTCCAGAATAGCAAAGCGGCCTAATCATGAATAGCCTGAAAGCAGAATTTAATATTTTAGTTTACGACAATGCATTTCAGTCAATTTTGAAGAGGTTTTTTTTTAGTTTGTAATTACTTTGTTGGACACAGAGATGTTTCGTTAGTTTCTTTTTTTTATATTGTAAGTCTCACAAAGAAAACGGCTTACTGTTCAGTCCGCAAATCAGTCCGAAGCATTTGATACAGCTGCGCTCTGATGATCGAGATGTATGCCGATTTCCCGAGAGGGAAGTGACTGTGTAGGTGAATGGAGGGGGAAGAGGATTCAGAATTCGGAGTATGTGATCAGATAGAAACTTTCTATAACAGTGTAGAAGTATAATTTGTTGATGTTGGTTGTGATCCGAAATAAATATGCTCCGCGAATTTGACACGAGACTCTCGGTAAGGTACATGCATTTCTGGATGGTCTGGCCACAATTGGCATATGGTTTTCACCCTAAGCACGTAAGCTATGATTGTAGGACTGAGTTATCCCAGGTCCCAACCTCACATTAACTGGGGGGAAGTGATACGAGAAAAGGGCAGATTTTGTTATCTGACCAGCTACATCTCACCCGGTGGATGCAACACGGATGAAGGGTCGGCTGGTATACGGAACGCCCGACTTGCGTTTGCCCATGTTAAACACCTCCGGTGCTATCTCGACATCCGGTTCTCTACGAATGATCAGCTGTATGCTGCGTTAGTTCGGACGGATGGTGCAGATACTTGGCCGTTGTGGGAGCGAGATAAAGATGGACTGGGGTTGGATTGAACACAGCTGTCTGCGCCGCATTGCACGAGTCTGGTAGGTAAATCAAGTTATCAATGCTGAGGTTGAGCGCAGAGATTTACCTGATCTCGGTCGCTCACTGACGCCAGTGGTCGTTCACCACAGATTACGTTGGATGAGACGGTCATGTATCACGCATATCACCCAGTAAATTGTCACGAAGTTCGCCGAGTTAGGTACTGGTACTTGGAAGAAGATTAATGGTGATCAAACTAACACCGAATGGGAAGGCATAAAAACGCTGACAGGGGAGACTTGGATCTGGGTTGGGGACTTCGGGATCAGTGTAAAAGTTCGTTATCAATACTGAGTGAGGCACCGGATAGTCGTAAACAGTGACTATCGTACAACTACTCACGGTGACCTTAGTCTACTGGAATTCGCAACTTTCACCCGAACATTGAACATCCCCATCTCTCCTCTACTCCTACATAAGAAATGAGCAATCAAAAGACTGATACTGAAATCAAGAAAACCTGATGGTTAGTGAATCACCAGATCGTGGTGTCATTCATTCTCTGATTGTTCTTTGTTCTAAGTCATCAGAAATAAACGGTGAGTGGAAACTAAGCTAGGGAGCACACACCGATTAACTAACGTCTAGCGCGCAGCAGTTGTGAGGCATGAAATTGCTCTTGCTTTGGATAGGCCATTTATTTGAATTAGTTTACCCCAAATTCAAGCCTGTTATGTATGATTGCTAGGTTTGAAGAAGTCAAAACCTAAACTCAAAGTGAACACGATTGCTTTCCGTTACAACTCGGACAGAATTTTGGAGGGAAATATTAATCAGACGAAGAACAGTATGTTTCAAGACTTGCGAAAAAAGTGTCAGGCGTATCTCGTGGGGTTGTGGAAAATAGGTATCTGGATAAAATATGCTCGGTGAAATCACTCCGGAGTTGTTTCGAATTGGAGAGAGCGGGATTCCGAGTGAAAACTCCTCGAGTATAGTGATTTTTCGTGGGATTTTCCCTAAAATATTCGGGTCACTTAAGACATTCGAAGCATTAGAGTTTAATTAAAACAAAACTTCTCGGGGAATGATCAAGCAAAGTACAACAACAAATAGCGATTTAACAGAGTCGGGGAAAGAAATAACGGTGAAACAGAAGACAACAGTCAATATGAATCTATTTAGCCCTGGGAAAATTTTAGTTCATGTTCCATCTCATTGGCTGTACATAGGACTTGGGTGCACCGAGGGCCGCTCAGAACCGATCACACTGTTTAACACCCGGGTGAAAAACACCACGAATCAGGTGCACTCGATTCCAGTCGGACCATTTCCAGTCAGTGCTAATCAGTTAGAGTAGCTGAAATAAGGCAATCCAAGCAAGTACAGCGGGGCGAGTTGATGCACTCCAATCGTATTTTTGATTAACTAGACATCCCTGTGTAGGTGTACCCTGTGCGTTGTCTAACGCGCACTAGCCTGGGGGGAGGCAGAGCACAAAAATAGCTTCTATCACGGTGTCACAACTGACGTGCAAATAGCTCGCTCGCTCGCTATTTTCCTATACACTTTAACAAATGAGTACCACGGGAATTTACTGGTCGATACACAGTCGCACAGTAATTGCATCAGACGGTGCGTGCCCGTCTAGTGTGTGTGTTTGGGGTTGAAGGGGGGGGGGTGTGTGGAGCGATTCTTCGTGTTTCGTTCACTCCATTGAAAATGCTTATCAAATAAACTTCAGAGTAGATTAGAGCTGAAAGTAAAAATCTAGTCGTTTAGATTAAAATCACTCCAAATCACCCGGCGGTATGCAGCCATTTTGGTCAAAAGAATACCGGTCTCAAGATTCCACGTGGTAGTCACAATTGGGCAAGGGTATCTACACTACTCATAATTGGACAGTAATAAAGTGTTGCTGAATAAAACCCCGAAAACAAAACAGTAAGGATCGTAGTTCAACTGGAATAACTGCCCGATAAAGTTGTCTTGATAGATTTACCAGATAAGTTGGGTGGTTAATCGTTAGAAATTGAAAACAAAACAAGCAGGCTAATAGTCTGACCCTTTTCATAACCAATTCGCACGATACTTTCTTAGACAGGTAAATGTAAGTCTCAAAATTGGTTTGGTCTTTTTTTCCAACTTTTCTCCAGTATCCGGATTTCATCAAAGAGTAAAATACGATCTTTGCAACTCTAATATCTTTCTTCATGTTTCTTTTTTTTTCTTGAACGGCAAATCCTTGATGGATTAGAGCTGATCTCAGGCGAATAACTGTCCGCGTTTGTGTCTGTGTGTGTGTTTGGNATTTTTTTTGTTACACATGAATTGATTTACGGTAAATGGGGTTAACCCCGTAATCAATGATATACTATAAGGGGGAGGTATGTGGGGGGAACATTCAAGTAAGAATCAATTTGTTAATCCCGCTTTTGAAAAGGGTAAGGTTGTAAGAGCTGGGAAACAGGGAAATCAGAAGTGTGTTCCACAATTTTGCAGTCCTGAGGAAGAAAGATTGAAAGATAGAAGTCCGACATCCGGGGAATGAAACCTGATAAGGGTCATTACCCGCCTGAGAATGAGATGAACGAGAAAAGGTCAATGGAACGGGAACCACTAAAGCAAGTTCGGAAAAGCAGAAATCAAAATAGTAACGATAGAAAAGAGATAAGGAAGCAACTTCCCGGTGGTGGGAAAGCGACTGCAGGTTGGAAGTTAAAGACGGTTCATCGATCAACCGGATGGCCTTACGATGAACATAGTAGAAGAGAGAAAGAGCGGAATACCAAGCTCCACTCCAAAGGTGATTGCAGTATACGAGGATCGGGCGGATTTGAGGTTTGTATAAAAGTAAACGGTGCTTGGGTGTAAAGAAGCGCATTGCGCGGAAATGAAAACCGACGTTGCGTGCAGCGAGAGACGCAAGTGTAGAAATAAAAGGGAACCAACAGAGAGAGGAATTTATGGGTAAGTCCAGGAGGGAGAGAGAATATGGAGCCAAAGGGCAGTGAATCAAAAATCATTTAAGGAGAATAGGGGACACGTTTAAGAAATATAGTGAGGAGAGAAGTTTTTGAAGCATTGAAACACACATGGTTGATAGAACCCCATGTGGAGATGAGTCCGAGATCGGAGGCAAGGGAAACACTAATAACTTTACGGTCGTGATCGATAATGGTAATAGGTTGATGGGTTTTGGGGTAAGAGAGAACAATGGGGAGTGGCATCATCGACAAAGCAGTGGATGGGATTAGATGTTTTGGACAAAAGATCGTTGATAAACAGAAGAAAGAGGGTGGGTGAAAGTACGGAACCTTGAGAAACACCGCTGTTCACAGGAAATGGTAGAGATAGGACCCCATCTACTCGGATGGAGATGGTTCGCTTGCTGAGGAACCACTGGAGTCACGATACTAGAGACAGGTGGAATCCGAACGTGGGTAATTTCGACAGCAGACCTTCATGCCAACACGCACTAGAAGGCCTCTGAACTGTCGATCGAGACCATGCCAGTTTCTCCGAGGTTATCAAATGCATCTGACGAGGAATGTGAGGCGAGCGCCAGTAGATCACCCGTAGATCGATGAGGGCGAAATCCATATTGACGATCATTCAACAAACCTTCGCGTTCGAGAAATGTACGCAGCTATTCGAAGAAAATGACTTCAAACACTTTCGAAATTACAGACGTGAGAGTGATTGGACGTTATTTGTTGGCGTTAGGAGGGCCACCGCGCTTTGGAAAATAGGAAAAACGATGACCCTTTTTCATGGAGTAGGAAAAGAATTAAGATTGAGTGAAGAACCGAAAAGGTGGCGTAGAATAGCTCCTAACTCCGGGGCACACGTTTTTAAAACGATAGGTGAAGTACCGTCAGGACCGGTTGGTTTACAACAAATCCAGATCACGAAGATTTTGATGAACCTTTCTAGTTGTTGTTGTGACGGGTAGAATGGATTGACTAAATTTGTTACAAGAGGGTTGAACAGTAGAGTCGGCAGATAAAGTGGAGTTGGAGGCAAACCGGGAAGCGAAGACCTCTGGTTTCACAAACAAGAGGACCAGAAGAATTACAAATGGCAGGAAAGTTGGGAGGACACAAATTCGGTGAAACCGCTTTAGCAAGGGACCAGAATGTTCGTTTACCGGTGGCGGAAGAAGCCAAGCGCGCAGCTTTGTTACAAGTGAGACGTTCTTTTGCTCTCTGTATGGTGAGCAAGCATTTGTTTCCGGCTCGCACGAAGCGGTTGCGAGATTCTAGTTTGGGTAAGTGGCACCAATGACGGAATGCTGAGTTTTGAAAACGTACAGTACGGTTGCAAGCCTGAATGGACCACTCAGAGGATTGTGGTTTGCCGGGTTTAAAAAAGTGTGGAATATAAGGAAATGTACCTTGAAGAAGTTTGAAGTTTGAAACGGACATGGAAACAACAGATTTAAATCACCAATTCTTCCAGGGCTAACAGGCCAGAAAATCACGAAAACCGTCCCAGTTGACTGTATGGTAGATCGGAGGCTTTTCAGTTCATTGCGTTATTCGAATATATCATTGCAATGAATCGCTTCCATCCAAAGCGCTTTGATGCACAGTCAATAGTTTGTCTCACATCTAAAACACTTCGGCAACTAGGATGTGACGAACGAAGATGGACTCTGTTGAATTTCAGAATACTTTAAACAGTAGAACTACGCTGTGAATCAGTACTTTTAAGTCCTTCATACAGTAATCATAATAATGCATTCATTTGTACCGCCTCCTGTCTGTTTTCCACCCTTTTTAGTCTGCATCTGACAAGACAAAATATGATTCGGAGCTACTGACCGCCGGGTATGTTGGTGTGCCATGAACATCTTGTTGCTACAGTAATTATTTGTTCGTTCCGAAATATGCTGGTCAGTTTTTCCAACGTTTTATTGCCAAAATACGAAGGTTCCCGCGGAATCCTTGCTGAAGCTCTGCTTTAACTACCCTGGTCGATCCGTTTGCGTGACGAAAGCATAGCGCGTGGGCGCTTCACTTCTCTTGGGAATGAATAGGCACATACCCCGGCATCCCCCAAATCATGCCGTGTGAATTTACGGCTCAGTGGAGAAAAAACATTTTAAATTGGTCTCGAACTTCTTTATGTTCGCCTGATCGTGAACGCTTCCCAACTGAATCGCATCGTCGTTAACCTGTTCTACGCACAGCATAAACGCTATTCCCTTATGGAAGCATTCTCAAACACGTTCAAACTCTCGTTCAGAACTAAGATAAGAACAGAATGAGAAAACCATATCCAATTTGTTCAATATCTCTCTCCTAATGATTCATTGGTTGTCCCCGTCTCCGTTCCCTTTTAAAAGAACCCATGAAGAACCGGTGTGCGTGAGTCAATTAGCACAAGAATTCCGGTTTCAGTCGTTGTGACAGAACTATTGTAATTCCTTCGCCCGTTTACTTTCTCCTGATCCCATCATAAAAAAATCCGATCATGAACCTAGACGCCGAATCGGGTCGTGCTTCGAGGTGGTATTGAAGGATACCCTTTTGGACCGACATGTGGTTCGTACTGCTCTGATGTCGATCGGCGCGCAGTATACCGGATGAAAATCGAATGCTTAGTTTTGGGTTTGCTTAGATTTTAATCAGCCTCAGCAAAAATCGAAAACCAGTTGTGTGTGTGCATGAGTTTGTATTTAGACAACCAAGAATTTTCATAAGAACAAACAGTCTAGAACTGTTTTATTTGAATAAAAGTCTACGTTTTGTCGCATTTGAAATGACACGCCTTGGGTAACTCAGGTTCTCCGTATAAGGAGGAGTCTTGCCTGCATCGTAGTCCACATAGGCTGATGATGTCTGTAGGACTTCAGAAATATGGCTCTATCTCTTCGTGCAAGTGTTTTTATCCATGTTCATGTTACTTGTGGAAGCAGTAACGGGTCGGAAGAATGATCTGTTTTACCAAAGATGTAAATCTGATCCCCTGGGAGTGTTTTCCAGAATAGTCCTATGAAAATAAAGATAGAAGAAGGGTCGGGACTTCAAACTCCTACCCCTGAGCTACACGGCCGACGGTCATCACCCTGT